CACCCAATCGGAGTGAAACTTGGTCAAAGTCACTAGCCTACCATCACCACTAAGACCCGAGAAGGGAACAGGGTGCCAGGGTCCTGACTCTCAATAGTCTGCTCTAACGAACACCTCCATTTTGGAGCACTTACTACCTAAGCCTTTACAAGAGGAACAATTTGGGCAATAATCCACAGTTTGAAGGACTGTTTGAGGAATGAGTAAATGAGTTATATATATAAAATATGACTCGGCTAATGAGACTATTAAAAGGGGAATATAATTATCTACAGGCATCTGAAAGGCATGAGAAAAATTGTTCAGGGCAGTCCAAGCACATACAGTTAAAAGCACTGGAATGAAAGAGAGTGAACAGATATCTTGGATGAAGAGCAATCATTGCTGAGGTCACGATCTCCTTAGGTTGAAGCAGTCTCTCCTAAGAGACATGCAATGTTAAGCTGGACAATATGCACTGTGGAAGGAGGCAGCTTGCAGTGGTCAGGAGGTGCATCTGGCTAGCTGTTTCATCCTGGCTGTTTTTTTTAATATTGAGGATGATATTGCTATAGCATTGCAGGAAAGTAAAACATACGTTCTGCCCCATACAACTAAAGTACCATTAGTCATTACCCAGCAGTCAGCACTTTCATTTTCAGTCAAGGAGTCCCCCGGAACCAATGAACTCAAATTATATTTTAAAAGCATAACAGAGAAAAGCAGAAGCATAGCCTTTGGCAGTTCTGCAATTGGAAACATTTGCATATTCTCAAATGACCTTCTGAAACTCCTAGTGGTGTCCCTTTGGGAGATTCAACGTTAGACTCAAGGTCCAACAACAACCGGCCTCATCCTGACAAAAATCAGCCTTTCCAAAAGCCTTCACAGCAGTCAGCCCACAGCCTTTCTCAGGGAATGTGTCAAGGCCTCTCACCTGGTTTAGGGATGCAGCACCTCCAGATGACACACCTAATGAAAGTTCAGCTCAGACAGAGCCCTCATATAATTTCACACAAAACTGGTCTATCTTTACACAGCACCCAGGCTAGAAATGTAAAAGCTAACGAGTCAGGACATGCACAATTTGATGACCTCAGAGCAATAGCCACTTGTGTGCATTTGCACACTTTATTTATTAGTACCCACACTGAATAATCTGCCTGGGTAATGGCAATTACCATGCAGACCTTCTGGATGATGTGAGGTATCTCCAGGATAACTGATAACTCCTCACTCATACAGGAGTCTGAACCTTCATGGGAAAAAACTGAAGTTGCATCATGTTTAAGGAAATGCTTTAAAGTTTGCCCTGTGGAATGAACCACATCAGTCAGCATTGCCTGGCCGTGCTGGTAATTATGTAACTTAAATTTTCTGTTAATATCACTTTTAAGCATTTCATTTCCTTAGTTTATTTTTATTTGCTTTTAAAAGCAAGGAGGAAATAAAAGGGGGGAAAGAAAGAGACAAAGAACACATCCATGCAGGATAATCTGCGGACCCTACTCAGGACCATATATATATATATATATGAACAACTTAGGGTAAATAGCTGGGTTCACTCCTTATAGAGATGACCAGAGAGAGGAAGCAGTGAACACTCAATTCTCACAATTTTTGCTGCTGCTATTTTGGGGAGTGACAATTTTTGTTCCTGCCCAGATTCAGAGGAAGCAGCAGTTCATCCAAAAAGGCAAAAGAGCTAGGGGCGGTGGTGGCAGCAGCAGCCAAGAGACAGAAACTGAATTTGCATCATTTGGCACACTGGACTGTGAGTGATTCACTGAAATATTTGCCATCCTGCCCATGCCTTAGGTATTACCCCTGGATTTTTCAGAACTGGCACCAAAAATAGCAGTAAAGGGGTACAAACTCATCAACCACTGGTAAAATCTTGGTGGATGTCCACTGAGAGTGTTCCCCCCTTTTGATTTCTTAGTTCCCCCTGCCCTAAAACATGGCTCTGATCTAAGATCTCTGCTGGCAAATGAGTCTGGGGATTCCCAGTCCTTCAGGGTGGCTGATGAGCAAACAACATTTTGCAATGTTGAGGGAAATGTACTTTTCACCCGTTCTCCAATAACTGAAAAATTCTGCAGGGATTTTCCTCAAAAACTTTCCATAAACTTCCTATCTCCATAGAGACCAAGGACCAGATCTGATCCCGAGATTCAACATCAGGACTGCCCATCAGGCAAAGGTGGTGTACCACTCCCGTTGAGGAGCAGAGGGAGATTCTCTGTGGGCATAAACTCAGGCCCACCGGTTTCACATCTTCAGCTCCTGGCCTCCACTGGTTTGAAGGCTATGACAAGTGCAATCTGGGCTTTGGCAACTCCTGCTAAGCACAATAGCCACAAATGGTAGGGCAGACCTGTGTATAAAGTGCTTCAAATTTTGCCTTTTTAAAGTGTTGTTAACTTGTAGTGCTTCAGTAGCATATAGATGTATGACTGCCTCCCAGCTGTAATGTTAATGTGAAGCGCTTCAAAGCCATCCCTGTTTCAGCCAGGATCTTTTTTTTTTTTATATAGGTTGGTCCAATTTATAGAGCTATTGCACTCTGTCTGTCCGCGCCCTAAGGAGATGCTACAAAATTATATGACTGAGGGGCTGTCTATACTCTGCAAGTGGTAGACATCTGTAAGCTGGCTTTAACTGAGCTGGCGTGGGTAACAATAGCAGCACAGATATGACAGCACTGGCTGGCCCAGACCGTCAGTGGATCTGG